TTTATGTTTTTGTTTTTGGCGGTAGCTATTATTGATAAATAAAAAAAAAAAAAAGAAAACAAAACAAAACAAAAAGAAAGGGAAACGAGAAAAGACTATAATGGGGTTTTGAACTTATTTTTGTTCTTGGGTGATTATTATTATTATTTTGTTATATAAAATTGAAAAGTTCTTAAAATTAAAGTATGTGATAACCATATTATTTGAAAATTGTGGGGTGCCTAATACATTCTCCACGCTTAATCGACCCTTCGAACCTAGTCAATTTCTACCAAGACCTGAGTGATCTATCCCACCTCATTTGGATAGATAGCGACTCCATCCATTTTGGCACGTCAACACACATAATACTACCTTAAAACATTACTGCATCCACCTTCATATATATCGTTACACTGTCCTTGATACGGCCAGAAAAGTCAGGAAAAAGTCCAAGAAAATCCATGCCTTGTGATTTTCCATGTTCAAAAGCTCTTCCATTCCGTAGAGAGACCTTTGAAAATTGAGATTTAAGGATCAAACAAATAAGAGAGAGGATAACTCGCCCGGTATTGTTGATTTCTTACCCATAGAGAAAAGGATAATTTCATCGTTATCTTCTATATGGCCATTTTTACCCATTCCACATTCACAATAAAATGGAGAGATAGGAAGAAGATCAATTTACATTTAATTATGTGAAAATGAGGCTTGAAAGTTCAATTGTGCTGCATCATATATACCTGGTCAAATAATCTAAAATTGTTGGCTCAAGACAATACGAGTTTACAAATGTTGGCTTTGCCTAAGAACATCATTTAGAAAGCTCATTTGTGACTTTCATCAATATAGATATTTCTAATGTAAAGTTGAACTCTTCAATCCCTTTCCAACAAAACAACCTGAAAAGGTTAATGAAATCATAAACCATTTTGGAGGCAATTGAATGCATTTTTTCAGATAAAGAGACTAAAGGGAAATGAAAGTCTTGAACTTCATCTGCAAAGAGAGAGGTGCGAGAAGCAATATATATGAATTGCACAGTGCATAAGTTTTTACCTGATCCAAGGGTTAACTTATACTGCAAAATGCCTCATTTTACATATTTTCCATAGGACAAACAAAAAAAAAAAAGAAAAAGAAAAATGAAAAATGAAAAAGAACATTTTCAAATCCAAATATCAGCTATTACTCTTAATATAAATATCTAACAGAAACTGATTACAAGGTACGGAGCTCATAATCCGGGGCTGTTACTAACATTGAGCTTCTCTACTCATTTTCTTGTGTTAACTTTTTATAAGTGATGTGCAGGACTGTTGATGACTTGATGGTATACACAAGTCCAATTATAGTCCATTTCTAAGAGTACAATACAGCTAATAACTTGAACTTGAATATGGAATAGAAAGATAACAATAAGCTTTTCAAGCTTTGGGGATGCATGGATAAAAAGCCAATCTATGTATAATACACTGTTCCAAAGAGGCTTACCAAATACCACACTCAACAAGTATTCTTCTTCTCTCTGTACCCAATTAAATGGAAACTAATCAAACTCAACAACAAAGTTTCTTCTACTTTAGGAAACACCAAAGGTTGTACACAACAATAAGTCATCAAGAATAAATTCTTGGATCACTAATTTCATAGTCATCACCATAATAAAGCTGGAAGTCAAAACCTCCCATCAAATTGGGATAAATCTCACCAAGTGTGCTCATTGTGTTCCAAGAAGAACTGGAGACCAAATCACTGTTGACCATCTGGCAGAACTAACTCCTCTACCGAGCTTACTTGCTGCTGTTGCAACTCACTCTCACTGTCTCTCTACTGTTTTTGCAATGAAGATCAAAACCAGCCACTAGCCATTATTTAAAGCTCCCCTGACTTGATATATTTCAAAGTCCAAGCCCCATGCAGTTCGTGTATGAGTTCATGAAGACTTTTCTCAACGCCAGATGGATGGATGTATACAACAAAGGAATCCTGAAGAAATAAGAAATTGAAATGGTTAGTTAACATAATTGAGTATGGCATAAATTAGTCTAATAATAAGTCCACCTACAACTAATAACTTGGATTTTAACTTTCAAATTTTGCACATATTAAAGGATTGAAATGTGACAATGCACCTTGAAATGATTTTCGCATAATGCTGCCTTGAAGCATTACTCCACCCACTTTCATATATATCCTTGAATTGTCCTTGATTAAGGGAATTGATCAGTGGAAGTTATAAGAAAAACTCAAAGAAAATCCATGTCCTGCAAAAGTGAATTAAAGTTTAGCAATATCTTGATGAAATGATAGAGAATCTCTCTAAACAACTAAGGGATGAGAAGACAAAGCCTGCCTTACTAGAGAGGGCATTCTTTGGAGGGGTAGTAGGTCGTAGCTGCAACTATGAGCATATGACAGATCCTGTGAGCACCACCATTTTTCATCAAGTTGTTAGATCTTGAAGCTACTTTGCAAGTCAATCCATTCTTAAGTAAAGCAGCAGCTAAAGCAACTGTGTTTGTGCCGTAATCTTGGTTGTGACTTGAGACAAATAAAGAGGGAACACAATGCACATTGTTGGATCATTCATTTCTGACTCATTATACATACTAGAAGCTTCACCTCTTGCATGAAAGGCAGCATTAATATCAAAGCATCCAGCTCCCACTTGTTGAAAAAAGAACTTGCCTAAAAAGGGAGGCTTGAACTTGGAATCTTGGATCAATCACCTTTCAACTAATCCTGTAGTTGACTTGAAAACAGCAAAGGGTTTAATCAGCTGTTGTAAGATAAAAATAGCACAAGAATTAATTATAAGTTGGGCATTACACAGTTTCAAGGAAGCAGACACTAAAATTATGGGAAATGTGATGATGAATGAGAACAAGATGAGGGAGGGGCAAATAATGGAACAAGTGGGCACTAAGTTGTACTAACTTCTTGATATCTACCTAATTTCCATGCACTGGAATCAAAATTAAGATAAAAAAATACATATATACAAAAAGCTGGTAACACAAATACAAGACAAAACCAGAGTCAATTATATCATCAAAAAGTATCACTTCGCAAATGATGGATAGAGATATCATGATATATAATTCTTCAAAATATATCACTTTTTTCTTACCCTAAAAATTAACACAACCAAAGGAAATAGGTGGCGTGATAAAATTTTAGACAGGTTATCTTGGTTACTCACAGAATATGTAGCTTGACATGGTCAGATTACACAACCAAAGGAAATAGGTAGCGTGATAAAATTTTAGACAAGTTATTTTGGTTACTCAAAGAATATGTAGCTTGATATGGTCAGACTACAAGATTGTTTAATTCAGCAATGGTGATATCCGTTTTCCAGTTCCAGCTAGCAGAAAAATCTAATTTGTACAAAGGCCAGTCCAGATGGAAAACCACCAAAAAACATGTGGCAGGAAAGGAGGGTACCATTGAGAATATCCTTCTGAATCAAAATTCAATTCTTGTTTCAAAACTCTCCCCAATTCTTCAAAATGGAAAACATGAGGTTCTGCAGTAATGAATTCAAGATTCGAATGGGTTGGCTTGCCTAAGAACCTCATTTTGCAACTTGCAAGCTCATTTGTGGTTGTAGCTTTATCAATATATTTATGAATTCCCGTAATGCCAAGGCCAACCATTCATCCCCTCTCAAATAATCTGAAAAGCATGAACCATTTTTGAGGCAATTGAATGCATGTTTTCAGAGCAAAATAAATAGAATATAATGTTTTGGGCAATTCACATGGGACTTCACTTCATAATCCATGAGAATAAAAATAAAAAATAAAAATCCAAGGAATGAATGTACTAGTACCATTGAGGAGTGGCTTGGCTTTATTTACCTCATTAACAATTGGTTGTAGATAGCTCCCTAGCTCAAGCAGTGAACCTGCACAAAATGGATTTGCAAATATATAAGAAAAGGTAGCAAAAGTCAAAGAAAAGTGTATCTATTAAAGATTTTTCTAAATTCTCATATGAAAAGCATAAAATGGTGACGCTTGTTTCAGTTCATTCTAAGCTCTTATTACTTATTACCTCTTGCCAGTCTATGTTAACGTGCGGGATGCCATGGGTGAGAGTCCAATAGTCTCCTTTCGCCTCAAAGCGTTGTCGTTTCAGATGCGGACACCTCACAATGCGTAGTAATCCAAGCGAGGGAGGGAAGGTTTCCCTTGGCAAAGATCGTAGATTCTGGCAGTTAGAGATCCATAAGTCTTCAAGGGAGCTTAGGTTTTGGAAGATCCCCCCACGCATGGATTCCAAATTTTCTTCATCACAGACATGAAGAGAGGTTAAAGAAGAAGGTAGCACAATATCCAGAGGGAATTTCTGCTCAATTGTCAACTGTTGAAGAGATGTCAGGTTTTGGAGGCCCATCATCAAAGCCCCACCTGAGATTCTTAAACTCTGAAGTGATGTGAGTTGGTACATCGTATTTGGCAGAGACTTGAGATTCACACAGTTCTCTAAGTGAAGCTCTGTTAAGTTTGAGGGCAAACCCCCATTTGGAATGAACTCAAAGCTGGGGCACCTTTCCATCTCTAGCCTTCGAAGAGATTTCAGCTGATCCATCGTATTTGGGAGGGATTTGAAATTGTCACACCATCCTATTCTCAAATGCTTCAGATTGGGGGTGCATAACCCCAACTCTTCTGGTAAGTACTTTAAAACTTTACAACCATAAATTTCTAATTTAACCAGACTACTGACGCAATCAAGGTTGGGCAAACAATTCAATATTTTACAGTTGTGAATACCAATGGATTTAAGTCCCGTACAATGTTGCAGCATCCTCTCTGGAAATGATGCCAACCACTCGCCACCATTAGTAACTTCAAAACTTTTGAGAAAAGCTAGTAGTTGATGACAACCCTCCGAAGAATACAAACATGGAACATTCCTTATTTCCAAATGTAGATTGCTATTATTATTGTCACCATTAGCATTCGGTAGAGACTCAAGGCCTTTACAGTTTTCTATTCTCAAGTATTTAAGCGAGATGGGTAATATGCCACTTGGAAAAGACTTGAGAGAATCACAACCACAAATTTCCAACTTCTCCAATCTCGACATCAACATACTACTGTTGCTGTTACTGCTTCCATCCATCCTCATCATCATTGCATCAGGTAATGACTCTAGAGCTCTACATCCCACAATGCTAAGATGTTTAAGATTTAAAGGCAAGAAGCTTTGTTCTATTTCTGTCCCTTCCTCCCACAAACAAGTAAGATCCTTGCAACGTGTAATATCCAAAGTCTCAAGTGCTATCAAGGACTGTGTAAAACTCTTTGGCAAGCAACTTAATTTTGTTATTGCCATTTTTCTCAAGATAGTGAGGGAGGTGAGATCAACCATGCTCTTTAAAAGCACCTCATTGCAGTTTTGAATATACAACTCCTTCAGTGATGGAAGACTCATACTCATAGGCAAGCCAGTTAGTTTTGAAATTTCCTCAATTCTCAAATTAGCAAGGGAGGTGAAATCACCCATACTCTTCAAAAGCATCGCATTGCACTGTCTAAAAACCAACTCTTTAAGTGAAGAAAGGTTGCTAGGTAATTGTCCTAACAACTTAGGACAATTTTCAATCAGAAGCCTATGAAGACAAGGGAATTCACGTTCACTTCCAGCAGGAGAAGTCCATTCCTTCCAACTAAACATGTTTTGAAACTCCAATTCCTCCAGTAATGGAAAAGAGTCATGTCCCCCACAAAATTCAGAACCTATAGCTTTTATTGCCTTTAGGTTTTTAATAATCAATTTTTTGAGAACAGGTAGTAGGCCAAGTGATGGTAACAAAGTGCATGTCATACAATAGCTGAGCTCCATGGATGATAAATTCAAAAATAATGATGGATCACAAACCCAGTTTGGGAAACTCCGGCCACCATAGTGAGAAATTTTGAGACTTTTCAAATTTGAATGAGGTTTTAACCAGCCAAGGACTAATTCATCTTGATTGTTATCAAGAGCAGTCCATGCTGAGACTAACCGTTTCAAAGGATTGTTATCAGAACCAGTCCACCCCAAGACTAACTGTTCCAAACCATGGATCTTGTCTAGATTGGCCTCCCTAGCATCTTGAACATCCAAAACATTTTGTAGATTTAGAATAGACAATCTTCCTTGAAGTTGTGACAAGTTCTTCAAATTAGATAATCTCATCATCATTCCACCTGCCTTCCCCACAATAAATTTGGACAATGTTACAAGATTTTTAAGATCGCATATCCCTGATGGCATCTCTTCTAAAGATGATGTATTAGTGATATCAAGATGATGGAGATCAATTAGATTCCCAATTGTCATAGGCAACTTACTAAGCTGACCACAACCACATAATAGCAGTGTTTGCAAGAAGAGAAGAGAACCCACTGATTCAGGTATACATTTGATTCTTGTATCAGACAAATCAATGTATCGGATATGTTTTGAATTTGCAAAAGAATCAGGTAGCTTGCTTATATGATATCCGCAAAGAGATAGCACTCTTAAGCGATTTAAAGTTGGCAAGAAATCATGCAAGATTTTGTTTGACAAACAGGAGATAGGAATGTTACCGAGCATTCTTAGTGGCAAAAAAGTTCTCAGATGCTTTAATTTATCCAAGACTATGAATCTTTTTGAGATTTCATAAAAGGATGGAGTGAATGACAAATGACAAGCCTTCTCTAGTTTTTCATCACCCATATTACGTTCAAGATTGCAATATATTCCTTCAGCAACATCTACAGCTAAATCATTTATAAGGTCATGCATCACAAACCATGATTCAACTCTGCTTGATGGTTGAAAGAGTGATCTTGATAACAACTCTTGGAAATATTGATGACCAATGTCCTCTTCCATTTGCTTCTTTCCATGTGATTGTTGCTGTAATAGGCCCTCAGCCATCCATAATCGAACCAACACCTTTTTGTCAAATTCATAGTCTTTAGGGAACAAAGCACAATAAGCAAAGCATCGCTTCAAGTGAGAAGGAAGATTATTATAGCTCAATCTCAAAGCAGGAAGAATTTCACTTCTATCTTTTGATGGACTCCATATCTCACTGTTTAATATATTTTCCCACTCATTACGACGTAGCTTTCCCCGCAACACGCCACCTAGTGTTTTTAGTGCAAGTGGCAATCTTTTGCACTTCTTAACAAGCTTCTCACCAACATCTTGTAGGTCTGGGTGCGCATCAAAGTTCTCCTTCCCCAATGCATGTCGTGTAAATAATGGCAAACATGCATCATCTTGTAGTAACTCTAAATTGTAAACTCCATCATCTCCTCTCATCATCATCCCAACTTCCTTATTTCGAGTTGTGACAATTATTTTACTTCCAGGAGCTCCTGACATGAAAGGTCTCTTCAAGACATCCCATGGGCCATATTTCTCATTCCAAACATCATCCAGTACAAGAAAAAACTTCTTCCCATATAACTTCCCTTTCAATTTCTCCTGAAGCAAACCAAAATCAGAGTTACGCGGTTCCTCCCCAGTTACATGTTCTAAAATGGTTCTTGTTATTTTTAGAACATCAAATACATCAGCAACACAAACCCATGCCTTCAAGTCAAACCTGCCTTCCAATTGTTCATCATTGTAAATGAGCCGAGCAAGAGTTGTCTTGCCTAGTCCACCCATTCCGACAATGGGAATAACAAAGTCTTGTTCGAGACTACCTCCATCTTCTAGCAACCTTTGAAGAATAACATCTTTATCACTATCTCGACCCCACACCTTATCTTCAAGAAGAGGAGACTCAAGTAGTCTTTCAACAACTACTTTGTGAGACTTATCTTCAGCTTTAATAATCAAATTGATCAGGCCAAAATTATGCATCTCCTTTTCAATACGCTGCAATCTAACATTCAGATGATTCAACTCGGAATTGATCCCCTGATTGGGTTTGGCCTTAGATCTAAATAAATTCATGACACTGGAGGTGACTTTTTGTCGTTTGTTGGCTCTAGCATCAGATTTTGCAATCAGTTCAGACCTCTTGGCATCAATCATAAACTCTTCAAGTATATCCTCCATATCATAAGCCAAGTCCCTGAGATCATCAAGACATGTCTTCACAAACAGGTTGGCGACTTGGTTTTCTTCTGCATGTTGAAGTATAGCTGTGATTTTGGGCAATAGAGTCTTCCAGCTTTCCATCTGGGTACGTACTTCCTCCTTTGAATCCTGTAGCTGATCACTTAGATATTTATTCAACTTGTCAAATATCAAGTCAAACGTAGCAGATAAAAGGGAACCTCCGACAAGAGATAAGACCTCCATTGGATAAAACAATTTTCCTGCAAAAGAGAGAGAGAAACGGATTGAAGTACAAATAAATAATGTAGCAAGTTCAAGGTAGATTGATCTATTGAATACCTCACATTCGTTTGCTTATCATCAAATTAGTATTTTATCCTAATATATTGATTTAATTAATTTTGCACATTGGTATTGAAAACAATCAAAATATCTACCATAGAGTTTGATTTAGATCTTCAAAGAATTGAAGAAGTAAAGATATTAATTAGAAAGTACTAGGATATATATATACATACCTTAATTAGTTAGGTTGTAGCTGCTTTTCCTTTCTCGTCATGCTCAAAGCTAAAAAGTTGTTGAGTTTTGTAGAGAGATTAATTAAACTTAATTAGATAGAATGTCTGAAAATCTGTTTCAAGCAAATGAAATATTGAATTAAAAGAGATAAGAAAACAACAGTTAAAAAAATTTAATCATCATTATATCAGTCAAAGACCCACCATAATTAAGAATAATTAGATGCTCTAATGAATTAAAACACAAACAATAAAAAGTTTTAAAATAAAGTTATATTTAAACCGTACTAATTAAATTACCTAATATTATATCTCTAATTTTGTCAATACAATGGTATGTATAAGGATTGTTCAATGTAGAAAAAAAAAATAATAGTAACACACACTCATAGAAATAATCATATGAGAAGATATATCCATCAAAAAATTGCAAATGGCATATATATAAATATATATATAGTAAAATGAAATTTGAGGAAAATGCCATCTATAGCTCGGGATTAATCAAGAAGCATACCTTTGCTTTACTGCCCTAAGCTGGAATCGCGAGTGGAGATATTTTCTGGAAAATAACTATACAAGGATGGAAGAGTAACAGAAGAAGAGGATGGGAAAAAGTGAAGGGCTCTGGATGGTAGAAGGAGATGGATAAAGTCCTGAGAAAGAATATTTAGGATGGTATGGTATGGAAAAAGACTGGATTGAATGTGATACTAAAAAAGCGTTCACATATCCACTACTACCGCATTATATATTGACCATGTAAATCAATTATTTTATTAAATAAAAATAAACATCAATATAAGATTAAATTAACTCTACACATGATAAAAATCAAACTTAAATAAATTCTTAGGGTAATATTGACCCTTGAAAGGCACTGTTTAGCTAGTATAATTGCAATTGTTTCATGGTCTCCCAATAACCTTCGATAGTTAAAAGTTTGAGTTTTTAAATTTAAAATTTAAAATTTAAATTTTAAAATTAATGAAAAAAAGTTTAGAAAATAAAAAATTATTTTTTATTATATAACACTTATTATTTAACTGTTCAAAAACAAAAATGTTACAATATTTAATTTTTAGTTTTTATTATTAAATTTAAACAATTAAAATTAATAATTACAAACTAAAATAAAAAAAATCAACTTATTAAGAATAAAATTTTAAAACTAATACTAGTTAATTAATTTAAAAAGAGTTTGATTAACTTGTGTAGCTAAAAAATTATTTAGAATTAGAGCTTATTGTGTTGGTTGGTTTGAGAAAAATGAAAAAAAAATTGTGTTCAATCAAATTAAAATATTAAACCAATATTTAAGGTCCATTCGGTACATAAAAAATGGTTTTATATTGGAAAATATTGTTCGAAAATTATTACAGTCATACAATGAAATCAAAATTTAAAAGAACTATACGAAAAATTATTTCATCCATGCCTCTTTTGATTTCATTTCAAATTTATTACGTTTAATTTGATTTAAGGAGAATGAAAAAAAAAAAGTAAACAATTTGTCCAATGAAATTACTATAAAACATTATATAAATATTTTATCTAAAAATGTAACAAAATTCGGACTTCTTGAAAATCAAATTTCCTAATTACATCTGTTGCTACTCTCTAATATTCCAGTGATATTGATTTGTTTTTCTTCAATAGGGTTATGATGCCATCAAGACGCGGTTTGCTTTACAGGATGTGGGCGCTACCAACACGCGCTCTGCTTTAAATGAATGTTGCTCGCATTCTCCTGTTGTCACTAATGTTTTGAAAATCGAACCAAAAGTTAAACCGTTTTAATTTTCGATTTTTGGTTTGATTGATTTAACCGATTAGATTGTATAAACCATCGGGTTAATTAAATATAAATAAATATAATATTATGTTAAAGTTTGACACAACATGAGTAGTGGTTCTATTCGTCCGTTCATGTTGCATTTAGTGGAGAAGGCAGAGGTTCGAGTTCTCTTGACGCTAAAATGTAATTATTTTATTTTTAACCCCTAATTTATAATATACTAGCGGATTTTCTTTCCCATAGAAAGTATATCAAATCTAATTTTTTAAATTATTTAATAAAAATGTTAAAAATTAACTTTAA